GTACCGGCCAGGCCGATAGCCCATCTCCATAGATCCATATTCTAGATGCATGCATTTGGCTGGACAGCAATGGTTCCCCAGTGCACGGTTTATCCTCTCGTAAGTGGTCGAGTAGTTGCTGTTCTGGTTTTGGACCTGGTGTGCTTACAGTACACGGCATGTGTGGCGAAGGAACTAAACATTCATGTACATTTCATTCCCCGTGTTTTCCGTAGATTCTCAATGTATCTGAAGCTGAACACATTTCCGCTGTTAGTTGACGGCACAATCTGAGCACTGGCTTTAAAAACTCTGCTCTAGACGTGGTCATAAGGTCCGGTCCACTCTGAGCCAAAGACGGCCCTGTCGTGGTGAAGAGGATGCCGGCGTGTTTTACCTGAATAGTCAGTGTGAGGTAGCGTTCTGAAGGCGTTTCCCACCCACTGGAGGAACACTAAGGCTTTGATAGCAGCTAGCTGCAGGGAGAAGAACATCTCCCCTCTCCTCTTGGTTCTGCTCCGGAGAAACGAAAACCCTTTACTGTCTTTGCTTAGGGGGGAAACACACAGGCCTCTCTGCCGTGAACATGAGATCGATCTGTGGCTGCACCTTCCTCTCATCCATCTTCCAGCCGGGTGAAGAGCTGACCCGAAGGGAAGTGAGAGCAGATGACACTTGTTGCGCCAGGCTATTCCTTACACACAGCTTCTGGTTCCTCTTGTGATGCAATCTGGGTCGGCTCTGTTAAACCGGGCATTGCATCCGCTGTGCTTTGGGCTGAAGGACGAATAACATCTTAGATGAGTAATCCATACCAACAAAGTGCTAAATAGCTTGACTATATTCAGTGACCCTGCGATTGGCTGGCGACCAATCCAGGGTGTACCCTGTCTATCGCCCGAAGTTGGCTGGGATGGACTCCAGCCCCCCCGCGACCCTGTGTGCAGGATAAGCGGTTTGACAATGGATGGATGGATGGATGGATATATTCAGTGATATAAACCTTTATGGGTCAAATAGTTGTAAAATCTGGGGTCAGAGGGTTTAGAACAGCTAAAAACTCTTGAACAAACCAAACAATTGTAAACAAACTGATTTGTTAACACTCATGTTGATGTCAAAACAGATTCATATGGAAAAAGCTTTTTCTGTCCGCTCCTGTGACTCAGTAAAGTGGGACAAAACATCCCTTTACGGGTTTATTCACAGGGACGGGGAGACTCGCTGGGGTATCCATATTTAAAGAAGAGCTTTGACCCACTAAGGCTTCAGTGGCCTCATGGCCAACAGTCAGATTCCCTTCAGTGTCCCGGCCCTCAGTGAGACATGTGATGGACGGTGGCCGTGTGGGTTGTAGGACTGAACCGGGACCGGCCAGGCCGGCCGGTTAGAGGCAACCTACTCGGATAACTGGCTGGCGTTGCCCTCCGCTGGCCATGCGGAACGCCATCTGGGGCAGTGATGGACTGATACAGGGCTGAATGCTGGGAAGGGACGGGTGACGTGTGCTAATGGCTTCAGAGGTTCAGTGTCCATGTGTGCGTGGACATAAGCAATGAGGCGCCGTGACCTCGTGCCATATGGAACCCTCTATTAAGGAATGCAGACGCTCCAGCACTTGTAATACACGTTGGAGATTTTTAGAACATTCAGCTGCTCATGCAACTGCCTTAATTTATGTTTGAAAGCTCGGATTTTGTTTACTCTTGATTAGTTATTTAGTCTTAAAACGCGTAACCTTACACGTAGTGCACAGTAGCTGGTGCATGCATGTGTTGCAGATTATAAAGTAATCATTTCATCTTAAACTGCCATTAATATTCAGTTTGTTTTAAAAGTATTCCAAATTTAAATCTAAAGATAGAAGGTGCAGTATTCAAGTCTAAAACCTTATTGTGACTTTTCACTCATCAATGGCTAAATAAATGTATGACAAAAATGACACTTGACGTGTGTGTGTGTGTGTGTGTGTGAGAATCTCAGGGTGGGGGACCCCCCCCCCCCCCGTCATAGTGGGAGGGGAAAATGTCACATGCACACAGAATTTAAATCCCTCTTGAGGCAAATATGTGATTTTGGACTAGAAAATGAAGTGAATAAACATAAAACGTAAGCTAATTGGAGGAAAACGGTCACAGTGCAAAGCTCACGCTAGCATGACATGTGGGTAAAGGGAAGCTGTTTTTTGGGGGGGGGTATTAACGCAATCAGAATGTTGTTGATGGATTTGCATTTGTAGGAGTCGCTGTAACATCAAACCAAGGCGGTCCTGTGTGAAGCAGTGCTGAGCATGTGTACAAGGAGGGAGTCGGCAGTCGGGATGTTGTTTTGATGGGAAGCTGATTGCGTCGGAGGTTGCAGAGATTTTAGAGGTTTCAGAGGTGAAAGGTCAAAGATGAGGCCTTCCTTTGTCGACACACAATGGGCCACAAAGGCTCCGGCGGTATTGGCTGCTGCTGAAGCCTTCCCAGCCTCGGGCTGTAATGGTCAATAAACTGTCATGAGGATTAGCATCAGAGACCACACACTAGAAAGCTCCATTCTTCTGTTACCAGCGAGTATCACAGCCTGAAACAAGGATTAATCCCCCTCCCAGAAATGTCACTATTAGGAGCTGCCAGACAGCAGCAGGGAATGGGAGAATATGAGGACTAAGTGACCAATAACCTCCGTGTCATTTCCGCAGAAAGAGGACCATTTCTAATCACTATGGAAACGCAGTTTGTGTTGCCTGCAGGTTCAAACGATCCATCAAAGCGGTGCCACTAAAACGGCGTGCCCTCGAGAGCACGTGCCATTTAAAGATTGTTCACACCAGAGGCAACAATAACTAAACCGTAGACAAATTAGCATCTACACTATTTACAGAGTTCATCCTGATCTTTGGAATGCTAAGATCTGTTCGCTAGCTTTCCGCTTAACAATAGTCATCAGTACTTATGATGCTGCCTCGGTACCACTGCCACCTCAAACAAAAGATCTGATCGACTATGAGCCGCAACAATATGCTTCCCATAGACTTTAATGTGCAAAGGCCTTTCTTACATGGATTACATTACAGGTCATTTAGCTGACGCTTTCATCCAAAGCGACATGCATTGCCTTTTTAACCCATGGTTTTACATTTTAAGACATGCGAGTATATTTCTGAAAACCAATCTAAACAATTGCTATAGCTTTGATTCTGTTGAGCAGAGAAGGCTTAGCCGCCCTGGACTGCTGGTTCTCATGGACCGACGTGCTGGTCAGTTGTTCCACACACCACTTTGGTCCAAGTCTCTCCAAGTATAAGTGAACCGAGGATAATAACTGGCCAATGGGCTCAAACTGTAAAGCCATACCTCATATTCATGGGCTACTTTACGCAAGCGCTTTATAAATATAAGTCAACTGTTAAAACTGTTTCTTCATAGTAAAGTAAAGATTAGGTCATTCTATTCATTTCAGAACGTATAGATGTGTGCGTTCATTTTCATTCCTGCGTGCTTAACAAGCCCCAAGACTCAACCAAGTCCTTCAGATCCCCTAGAACACGAGCTCAAGGGTTGAATACAACCAACTGAATGCACAAACCTGCAAAGGTGTTAAAATAAATGGAATTGAATATTTTATTTAAACGCAAAAGGTACTCAAGTTTATGTTGAAGCACTCTTTTTAAGGAGTGTTCAACCTGCTAGCTTGTGACTCCTCTATTGGTTCTGCAGCCTGTATCACTGACCACCACCAAACCGGTCCCCCTGAACCGTGTTGCAGGCAGCATACGTTCTCCTCGGCTTCTTCAGACCCTTTCACATTATCACAGGAGCTGTGAGAAGCACAGGGCGCCCGTTCTGGTGTTCTATAGCCGAGGTCTGGAGTCTCCATGTTCTGGAGAGTGTGTTGGGACACATCACGTCTCCTTGCAGCCATTTGGAGGAGTTGGGCAATCTGTCCCGCATGCTCCCAATGGTGATCCTTTCTCTAACTAAAGCCAACTATAGTGGGACCCTGTCTTCAATTGTCCTCCACGTGCCAAAGCAGTCCTGCTTCGGGGGTTGTCTCCTTGTTGCCCCTCTAATGCACCTGTTGCTAATTCCATCAACACCGATGCAGCTGAAACTGATTAGCAGCCCCCTCTGCTACTTACCTGACCTTACCTGACCCGATCGTTATCAGAGCATGAAAGGTGTTCAGTACAGTCTTCTACTGTCTAGATGTCTAGAAGTCAGTGTCTTGAGATTCAACTTCACGTTTTCCACTTCTACATTTAGTAAAAGGAAAGTGGCGTGTTCATATGGGACTTTTTGATTCGCTTTGTCGTTACTGGGGGGGTCGTCTTGTCTGCGTGTGTGTTACACGTCAGAGTAAGTATCTGCCACGGAGGCACGTGTCTGTGTGCCGCTGTATGCTCCAGGGAGAACATATGCTGCTGTTGACTGTGGGGGGGGGGGGCAGCTGGCGTGTGTCGGGTCAGGGGTCTACAGCTGTTGATCGGAGGGTGGTACACTGACACAGATAGGGGGTCTGATCCGCCTGGGTATGAGTGATAGAGCTGCCGTGCGCCGTGTAAGCGAGAAGGAGACTCCGTGTCTCCAGACGGCGACATCACAGATGGCCGGGCCGCTAATGGGGGGGGGGGGAAGAGGGTACAAACCACAGCAAGGGTAACCAATATGAAGCAAACAGATTGTTCTGCTCAGACCCGGGTGGTAGTGAGGTGATACCAGGCCTTGTGTTTAAGATGTAATTTGCTTCTGTCCGTGTGGTCCGTGTAGTTTGGATTCAGTTTCTACTGAATCAATGATAAATATTCCACATATTGTCGTAGTAATGTTGGTCCGTGGCTTCCTCTAGGCAGTTTGACATTACATTTAAATGACCACTTGTTGGAGGTTTGCTTTTGCATTAACTGATCTAAACTGCAACCAGTAAAGAAACACTAGATTAAAGTTGCAGAATAGAGTGTAATTTCTATCTTGCTCCCCAGGGTCCAACTAGACCACCTATATAAGGCTTGTGTGTCCTTTTTTTCTGTTTTACAGACTTCTACAGTGATCTTCCTCTGGAGTCTGAGAAGAACGACAGCATGGGTGAGTTGACAAACGGCTGTTATTCTCAGACGATGTAGGTTTAAATTTACACACCGTACATTTCAGATGATTTCACTAAACAATTAACACTGACACGTTTTACTCTCTCTGTTCACACTAATGTCTTTAATGTAATTGTCACTTTTCTCAACAAATCATTTAAAATAAACCTAATATAATGAAGACACTTGTAGTATAAATGGTTTAGCGTAAAGCTGGTATAAAGGCTAATCTTTAACATGCATGCACATCTACACCGACAAATGCTTGTATGCGTGTACATATATGCAACCATGTACATCCACATATATACCTGCATACACTTGGACAGGCGTACGTGCAGGGGAGGACTAAATTAAGTACAGTTAAATATCATATGCAGCAAATCTATAAAATGAAATAAAAGTTGAAAAATGAATAACTGAAGTAAAATAACCAGATACTGAAATGAAAGGAAACTGATAGCGAAAGGTTTACATTCATATCAAAGTATGTACAGCTCAGTCCACCACAGCCCCTCTCAGTAGTTCAACCTGTTTTCGTCCGTTTCCACCAAGTTCTGTTTAGTGCTTTTGGTATTTCATACAGTCAAGACCGTATCTCCATCTAGTGGTAAAATGGAGGGCAGTCGTTTTATTGAATGACTTCTAATTCCCGGTCAAATCCACAAGAGGGGAGTGTGTACTCAATAAAAATGAGAGAGATGCTACTTCCAACAGCATTAATCAGCTGGCTCGTAACAGTGAACGACACTGTGGGTGAAAACCAAAAGAGACTCTCACAGGGCAATGCCTACAAAGCTGCAGAGTCCTTACAGGATTATTATTGTTGTCTGTATCCATTGGATGCCGACTGGTCAGAGATCTGGTTACATATCGGGGTTTGGATGCAGATGTAGACTGGAGATGAGTCCGATATCAGACATGTTGGTCCGAGGAAACTTGCAGCGCGGGCCAGGGGTGAGGCCGTGTTCCAATGTTAAGTTCCAGGTTCAGGTGAAGTTCACCCTCTCAGCGCCAGTTGGCTCCATGGGGGGGGGGTCAGAGGTCGGACACATTTCAGAAGATGCTGACCTCGCCATGACTGTGCTGACCTGATTGTGTGCAGCTCTCCTCCGGCATGGGCTTTTTCATTGCTCCCACTATAGACCTTCAACAGGAGAAGGGAGGAGGTTGGGGGGGGGTTGGAAGGAAGCCCAAGAGGAACTATTAAACCTGCATACACAGTAAATGGCTGGCATTGTTGCTTGCCGCAGGAGGAGGCGTGGATTTATGAGGCTTGAGCTTGATTGGGTTGTAAACTTGACGAGGTGGGCTCGCGGCTGTGGCCACTGGCTCTCTGATGGCCCCATCGTCCTCCCGGGACGCCTCGGTGCATGCACCGGGCAAGGGTGATGCTAGGGTCAAGGGAGGCTAATGTAGCGTCAGGCTTGTAAATGCCTTGCAGGGGCGGGAATCCGGAGCCCCCCCCCGTAACAAAAAAACCCTCAGGTCAGGGGCCAAATAGCTCAGTTGGCCACAACTGTTTTCAACACAACTCCTGCAGATAAAGTCCCAACGTCAGCTCGGGTCTCTCAAAACTCTCAAAAAGAGTTTTTACAGACATTTATTTCCCCCACGGTCCCTTCCTCCGGTCTGCTCTTCTTGTCCTCCTCTACCCCCCCATTAGGTCAAACCACACCAGTGACCAATGGCTGCCTCAGCCCCAATGGGGTTAGAAGGGTTCTCGGTGACTGTGGTATGTTCACTGGTGGATGTCCGTTACACTTCAACAAGCATCTTCTGGGATATTTACACAGCAGGCATAGACTTCTGTTAAATACAACATGGTAACCTTGGATTTGATGTCTGGATCATGGATGTTGACTATATGGTATCCAGTTAGAAGAAGCATAAAACACACCAGGAGGAATAGTTCCTCTTATTTGTATTTCCTTATGCCCCCCCACACCCCCCCCCCCACACATCCCCCCGATAATCAGCCCAAGCAGCCAGTCCTCTTGCAGCGCTGCACCATCCAGCCAAAGGGGGGCAGTAGATCCATGACGGACCCACATGTTACGTATGCTCCCACGTGCCACCCGGACCCAGTGAACTCGACACCCATATGGAACTACTTGGCAGGAGCCCAGCGCATGCTTTCCTTTTGTCCTCACGTAACCGGGCTAACTTCATACGCTCGTGTCCAAAAGTCACTTTAAATGGCCAGCGTTTCACACTCGACACCACTTGAGATCTTTGTTCTTTTTGTGGTGTTTTCTCTGCCTGTGTTCCACTCAAATGAATGTATGGATAATCAGATGTTCTCCTTCCCTTTCCGCTCCCTTGGGTACCCCAGCTGGCTGCACTTGGAACATGGCGTGACTGCTGCAGAGTTCACCAGCTGCTCTCCTCCGTGCTCCTTATCATTTTAGCCTTTAATTTATATAAATATATTTTTTCTCTTGTCCTTGATGCAGCGGCGTGGCGTTCGACCCAGGGTCAGCCTGCGGAGGGTTTCCAGGTCAGGGAGAAGTGGGTCACGCTGTTCCCAGTGTCACTGCCTATAACATCAGTGTATGATGACAAAGGCCAACTCCACAGGGACAAACAAGCACTCTGCAGTGTGGCCCTAATGCACGTAGCGAGCACACCCATCCGCCCCAGCAGGCCTCAGTGGCTCCGACATTTTATGTCATTAATGAGTCATTCAAGTCAGTAAATTATACCCATTCCCCAAAGTTTTAAATTCTCCTGCAGACTTTAAGGATCTTCTTTTGTAGAAGTCTTGGTAATTTTAGAGATTTTTGACAAAAACAATTCTGAGAGAAACCCTAAATAAGACCATTTAATTTAGATTTAGCTTTTAGATAAATCCACTCTAACTATTTGAAAATAGTGCAAAACATGGAGAATCGTGCTGTATATTAACGCGGTGGGACTCGGGTCTCCTGTCTGGAAAGCATCTATGTGTTTGAAACGTCCCTGCATGTTAACATAACCTAACGGCAATTACTGCAAATGATTCCCATCTGCCTGTACTTCCTTCAATCGCATAAACAAACTAGGAAGAAGAGCACAGATTGCTCCGCTCCATAAACGATATTTGGGTTGATTGGACCTGAAGCTGAAATTAGTTTCTCTTTATTAATTCGGTTGTTCAGTTACTGTGCACTTGGGCAACTGACTTGTTGCCACGATTCCCCCAGATAAAACTTGCACAGCCTGCGTGTCTTCGAGTGTCCGTGGCAGTTAGTTTGTTCTAGTCATGGGAGGTCACTGCACACAGAACCATTTTGATGTTATGGCAGCAGTCCCACTTTGAACATCTGGCTCATGGTGGAGGCAACATGCTGAACCGCCTACCGGTGAGCTCATCATACCGCTGAATAATGCGGGGAGAAACACACACACTTCATTGACATTGTGCTTATTCACATGTTACACTACTTTGATCCAAGTATTTAGATTCTGATTTCACAAGATAAAACCATAAGAAGCTGTTGATTAAATGTGACGTGTCTATTCAACATCTATTTTCCGAGGAAGCTGTTTTTTTAGGTTCCCATTGACCAAATGGAAACGTGCATAACGTTTATGCATTTGTACCATACCTCAATTTTACATTCATCGCGTGGTTATAGCAGCAAACATCTGTGTGTGTGTGTGTGTGTGTGGTTGTCCTTGCTTTGTTCACATGGCCGGCCGGCTCGTGCATCTTGGTGCACGTGAGCGTGTCCCACTGGTCCGCTCAGGCTGCTGCTCTCAAAGGTTTTGTAGGTCTTGACCACCACTCAAATTCCTAGTTTGAGAATCTACCTGAAGCAGGTAGCTGGTCCGTCTGAGGTGAGCGTGGCCGTACTTCATTTAGATCCACCGGTGGCAAGCAAGACGCAACAACTTGGCTTTGGTGTTGAGTTTTAGTATTTATTCACTTCATACGTACTATGAACTGCTGTAACGTCTCACGCACCTTCGTCACCACCACAGTGTGCCGTTCATAAAACATAGTTCAGTCACAATAATCCCATACTCATCCTTACTGACCATCCCATGTGAAGAAAAGATTTATTGACATTTACATTTAGTTCAGCAATTCTGCTTCCATGATAATATTAGCTGGTAAATAGATCTCATCTCGTGATGCCTTCAGGCTCTGTTGGTCAGAGGCAGTATTGGCCAAAGGTCAATTATAACACTACCAAGATGTGTTCACATGTAAATTGTAGTTTCGATGAGAAACTACAATAAATGCAGTAGTTTAATAGAGATGCGTTAACAACGATTTTGGAGAGGAATTATAACCCGTTTACACCATTTTAGAGCCATTGTTAATAATTATCCAGATTTGAATTCATCCTTAAAACGACCCATGACACGGTTGGTTTTGAAATGGAAAACGCTAGTTTATTCATATAATTCAAAGATGTTTTTTATGAAGAAAAAAAACGAATGAAGATAACAAGTAAAATGACCAATGTTTGGATCCTTGTAGATTAGCGGCTGTATCTTTTGTGCTGATCTGTGATTCCGTGGTACGATCCAAACAGTGACTTTTATAAACTGTCGCGCCACTGGATGTAAGGTAGAAAATGATTTACTAGAATTCTAAATTGATCAACTACCATTCGTAATATCTAGCATCGCAGATAGTTGTGAACAGTTGAATGGAATTTGGTTTGTCATCTTTGCAGAATGAAATATGAAATGAAAGACCTTGTTAACCTGGATAATCTGCAGACTTACTGTGAACAGTTTCCAGTTCCAACGCCTGAATGGTTGCAAAAAAAAAAAGTAATTTGGCTGAACTGACCCTTCAGCCCAAAAAAAAAAAAAAAAGCGCAACACCGTGGACTCTAAATGCTGAAAGGACATCTGAATTTCAATGCTAGAAGATCGTGTGCGGTGACATCCGTACTCTGCTCCCCATTAAATGAGTCCCGTTTCCAAGGCCTGGCCTACTGGTCACTGAGGTGTTTGAACCGCAGTCTGCATTCATTGATCAGTGAGCTATTTTCATGTAAACCCACCGACAGCAATGAATGTTTACTGCAGCCTTAATAGTGACACTTCCTGTGTCATAGCGGACCTGATGGGATGGAAGGTCAAAGCCTTCTGTGCTCCACTGACTCCGGTTGCAGAATGAACTGTTTGTTGTGGCGTCCCTCAGGGTACAGTCAACGGTCGATGGTTTTGGTCAAAGCTCAAACTCACCGACAGCGTTGAATGTTCACCGTGGGCACCAGGAGGGACTATAGGTTTGTTTGATTGATGGCAGCTATTTTACTTGTCGCGTACCACCAACATGTATATCATGACAAAAAAGAAGCTACCCAATTGTATTCTTCATTAATCAGTCGCTGCACTGCCACATCATTTAGAAACAACTCGGATCACAACATTTATTTAGTTTTTTTCTTTCTATCCTCCAAGATGTGCGGACTCTCAACCGATTGTTGTAACTAAAAAGCCGGCGAGCTGCGTGCTTGTGCGTGCGGCGGCGTTCCTCTTGGCCTGTGTGGAGCGACACCTTGCCAGAGCATCCTGTCCCCCATGTTGCCGTGGAGACTCGGATAGATGCAACGGTTTGGGTTTCCTTAAACAGCCGGCAGACGTGACGTGCCCCCCCCCCCCCCTCCTGCTGCAATCCTCCTCCCCTTCTGCAGAACCACTAACAGAACTCCTCCTTCTCCGCCGACTCTGCTTCTTCCCCCTTCAGCCTGCAGTGAGGAGAAGACCAAAAAGGGGGAGGGGGGGGGGTCAGACATGGCATGAATGAGGACAGAAGAGGTCGTCAGCTGGGCTGCAGGAGGAAGAGTGTTGAGCTAGTGAGAGTACGGTTCCCTTCACCCGGCGCTGAACCTCGGCTCCTGCTCTGGGAGCGCGCCTTCCCGTGTTCGCCTCTTTGAGGTTGGAAAAATCATGCAGTCATGTTTTATTAATGCTCGCTGTCTGGGCTCACTCTCCCCTGTTTAGCGCGCTTCCCTCGACACATAACAGATCGAGAACACTGTATTTCGTTTTTTCACAATAGTCTTTGTCATGCAAGTTGTGCTTTTGGTTTAAAGACTTAGTAACACTTGTTGGGGAAGCAGCATAAGATGGAATTCATTGTTGAGAGGTTTGTTTTGTGGCTGCATCAATCTGACGCAACATGAGCGAACTGGATCCACAGTCGTTGTTTCAGGACAAGTTGTTTCTCACAGCAGAACGTGTAACGGCTACGTTGGACCAACGTGGGATTCTCACGCTTTTGGGGGAGAAATTGTGACAATACAACGTTTTATTTGCAACTAGGTCACGTGATCAACTTTCCCTCAGCTAAAAAAAGAAAATGGCGGACTGTCGGCCTATTATCTGTGAAAAACACAATATTTTAAGAAAGCATCAGCATTCGTATGCATTTCGATGGCATTTCTAGCGAGTATGAGTTATATTTTCATAATGTATCAGACAATGTAGAAGACCTTCCGTTTATTAGCTTCTAGTGACGTAGTTGCAAGGCAGTGTAAATGAATGGGCCAAAATAACACGTAGTATTGTCACGATTTTGGGGAGAAAGCGTGAGAATCCCACGTTGGTCCGACGTAGCTACGACACACTTTGCTGTGAGACCGGCTTGTTCAGGATGGAGCCACTCGGCTGCTCTCTGCATAATGAATGATCACTTTGAGGACCTCTTCTGCAGCTTTGTCACAGTTCAGTGACCTTGGAGAAGACGTTATTGCCACAATATAATACTAAACATTTGTCTAATTCTGTGTTGCATGAATCCTTTTCTCTTTTCTCCATCTAGCACCTCCAGCTAAACAAAAACCCAAATGTTGCGAGAGAACCACCATAACTTTAATCATAATAACCAGAAGAATGTTGTACAAAAGGCTTTTAAAACAAATCGCTAGAGAAACCGCTTCTCTGGTGCATCGGTCATTCATATTTCATATTTCCAAGCACAACATTCTTTATCCCCAATGTGTTTCTATGCCCCGTATCTGTGTCCACTTTCCGCTCACAGACAAGGTGGGACTCTATTGTTTCTGTCCCAGCCCCTCCGGCGCAGAGCGGCTCACTGGCTTCCCTCTTTGGCACTTGAACGGTCTGGCTGGATGCCGAGACGCACAGAGGCCTTTTCATTCTTAAATAGCTTTTTTTTTTTTTTTCATCTGACTTGACTTCCGCTGCGCCTGCTTTCAGCAGGACTTATTCGTTGGTTTGAGGCGTGGCTGCACTCTTGAATTGGGGCCCTTGATCGCGATGCTGCTGCTGTGGTCCCCACAAGCTTTAACTGCCAAACTTTCAAAAGTATGTTTAAAAAAAAAAAAAAACGTGTGTCTGTGTTTGAGAAGGGGCCAGAGCGAGGAGTGCAACATGTGACTGAACTGGTGTGAACCCTGCGTCGTCAGCACATTCCGGGGGCTGGACAATGAGAAGCACACAGTGTACTCGCTCCCTGCATAGCTGGCTGCTCTGCACACGTGCAAAGTTCAGCAAAAGGAGGTCCACTGTTTCAAGTGGCTGTTTCGTGAGGTGAGGTGATCTATTTCCTGTGTGGAAGCTGAGTTGTAACAATGAGTGGGGGGCTTTGAATGATGATGCAATACCTAAATGACGTAAGCAAACTGTTAACGGCGACCTCGCGCTGCGTCCAAAACCACCCACTGGTTCCTGTCGTGGCCAATCCACTTCTATTTTCTCTCCACCACTCAGGCTGTCGTGAGAGACCCACGTTGAGGAAATTAGTCTATTAGAAAACAGTCTAATCCTCTGAGGCGCGTGTAGCTAAAGTTAATCAGCCCCTCTCGGCTGCGCTCAGATGGATGTTCAAAAATGCTCTCAAACACTTTCCCATCTCGTCGTGCCTCTTGACAATCACAGTGCTGAGAAGAGGGTTAAGTCGCTGACATCACTGGCGCCATGAGCCATCCCCTCGTCGCCAATCAAGTTCAACAAATATGTCTTAATTGAAGTGTCAGTTGCAAAATAAGCTGATTGACATTTTAATATCTGCTGGTTTGAAGAAGTCTATAATCAGATTAAGCACTTGTGTATCCAACAGTCTCACATCTGTAAAGTGGAATGTTCTGCGAGTCCATAAATGAATCGTGGTCCGATAAATGGAAGAGGCTAGTTCTGGCCCTGCAGTAGTGTTCACCAGCGACGTCGGGCCACTTCAATGTTTGCATATTCAGAATGCTGTGGCTTCTTATTGGAAGACCTCGGACCTCTTATGGAGAAACATTGAGATCAGGATGTTTTATGGCAAATGTGATATTTGCCTCCGCACAGATGAAAAGGTTTACTGTAGTTTCTGTGACATTCAAAGCAATCCAATTCTTTAGAGGGAAGATGGCCCTGCTTAGGACAATGTGACGTGTAGCTCTCGCTGTACACACCTTTCCGCCCCGTATGTCTTGATGAGCCGGAGTGCATTTCTTTGGGTCTTGAGCAATGAATGACCATTGCTAAGCCGTACTGGTTGCACCTAGGGAGTGTAATGACTTCGTCTGGCAGCGTCGAGCCTTTCAGAAACCCCCACCGCCACGTGTCGTCCGTCATCCTGCAGGGGCTTCATTTGCAACTTTTCGGTGTGGTCGCGGCAGCCGTATCTCTGCTGCCAGCTGCTCTCTGCCGCCGTCTTGATGGGCCCACTGTCTTCTCAGCTTCTGTCCCCTGCCTGCTTCTCCTCAGTTGCTCCTTGCAGCAGCTGATTGACGTGCCCGTCCATCTTCCGTTTCCCTCTGCTACACACCTTCTGAGCCGCCGTTGATGCACTTAATCATGCCAGTGAGTTGGGCTCTAGCTGACTTATCCACTCCCGCAGTGTGGCTGAACTGCCCTGATTGTCGCCCTCCTCTGCAGCTTTGTCAGCTGGTTTCAGTCATGAGCGGCGAGGCTGATGAGTACGTATCCCGGGCTCCTCTCGCCACCGTCTGAGGATCTCTAACAAAGCGGGATGAGAGACCCTTTGTGGTTGTCTTCTGGATTTAACCGTGACGTTTCTCTGGGGCCGGCTGCCCCTCTTTTTTTAATCTTCCACAGACTTTATCCTGAGGTCAGACTGGCGGCCCCCTTTCAAATCTGGCACTTTCAAAGCCTGCGCCCCAAATCCTCGCTCCGACTGTCATATTCCGTTATTTGGGAACTCGTTGTCTGTTTGAATCAGGGGGCCTCAATTGAGTCATTAAAACGGGCAGAAATATGTTGCTGTAGAAAAGCTCGTACAACGTTTACAACCTTTGCGACGACGCAGTGGTGAATTTTTCGGCAACCTTTCGTTCCCCTCCCCGCCGCTCAATCTCGCTGCCCCCCCGCAATGCAGTAATAGGCAGCAGGGAGAGGTGCCGCAATCGGGGACCTCCCCCCCCCCATCCACAAAGCAGGGAAGCCTGCCAGATTCAGAAACGGAAGCCGTGGAGGGAAAATCCTAGCCGGCAATACTGATACCCAGCATAGGAATCACCTGGGTACTGATGACCTGGGTACTGATGACCTGGGTACTGATGACCTGGGTACTGATGACCTGGGTACTGATCACCTGACGGCCCACTTAAGACCCGTAAGACGACGCGAGATGCAAAATGGAATACCCTGAATTATCCCCCCCCCTCCCATTTGTCTGGGGATTGTCAGGTCTACACACACCAGACCAATCATGTTCATCTTCCGTTTGAACGCCGTCTTTTTATTCCCAATTTTTAGTTGGCGTGACAAATGTCCCAGAGCCCCGCGCCCCGTCCCAGTAGGAGAGCGTGTCGCCATGTTGCACCAGCGGGGACACTGTGCCCTTAATGTGCTGTGCTTTGTGCTCTGTTGACCGAATCAGCTCGGCCTGAGCCAAAGTTAAGCTCATCCCTTTGTCCTACTGTATGGATGACAGACAGGCGCCCGCTCACTCCACCGTGGATCAAGCACCGCTCATGTATGATATTTTTAGAGATGCATAAATGCCCGCCTGCCAGCGGTGGATGAACGCGGCGCTGTAAGTCGGGACGCTGGAGTCCAGCGTTGCGGCGGGTGGAATGGGCTGATCCTCTGCCGAGCAGCTTGAGGACTGTGCAGCAGAGTTGTTGAGGCCAGTGCTTTGGAGACTTAACCGTCCTCCCAGCGCCTCCTTCCTCGCTAGCAGAGGAAAACCTCTGCTGAATTCATGTCTCCTTTCAGATTTCTAAGAGGCGTTAAACCTTTCTGGATTAAAGAAGGTAATCTGACAGGCAGAAGATTGTATTAGCCAGAGTGTTGGCAGAGCTTTTAATTTCTCCTCTCTCTCTCCCCCCTCTCAGCCTGCCTCTCCTGCTGACCTGCTCGATAGTATTATTGTGTTTCCTTTTTGAATTACAGCAAAAACATCCGCTATTCACTCCCTTTCTCTCCTCTCGCATGCTCTCCATCCATATCTCTCCACATCTGCTCTCTCCAGCTCGTGCAGCAGTGACAGCACACTCGTGTGAACCCGTGATTTATCATTTGCTAATCCCTGATGATTATGGAGCTTTCCACACGGCTCTTATCTGTTGCTGAGCCCGCTTTTCACTCCGTAGCTGCCAATTATCTCTCAGGCGGCCAGCGAACAGACCCGTCTGTCAGCTCGCTGCCGTAGCGCCCAGAATCTCTGCGTCCACAGACGCACCAATGGCTGCCTCGTGCATGTAGTCGAGTTGTCGGATTGGGATGGGTTTTGTATGCAATCGGCATCACCTGCAGCGGAGGACCCCCGTAGTGGTTTGTAGCGGCCAATGTTGCTGCTTTTGACTAAAAATAAAGCTCAGCAAAGTTGTTGCCAAAAGTAAATGTGACTTGACATCCCAAAGCCTCCATTTTATTATATTCGCATCACCGTCAACATTCTACCACCCACAAAGTTTGGACGGAGAGCCGTGGCGGGCTCCGCGTGACTCATCCAACACTTCCCGGGGTCCGGCTGAGGCGGAGGGCCGGCCAGCGATGCTTTGTGACAGCACGAGGTTACAGCGAGCGAGACCTCGCCTGCAGGGAGGGTATGCAGATCAGCTGATGTGGCGTCCAATTGTCAGCGTAATGGGGAGTGACGTGCCCATCACAGCGATGTGGGTCAGAGCGCCAGATGACCAGCCCGCGGCCTGTATCTGCTCCGCCTGTCTAATCTGCTGTAGCCCAACCAGACGAGACTCTAATCGACCCTGATATTCACTGAACACACATTAGCGTTTGTGCTCGGGAACGCACACGCGGCACGAGAGGACCTCTGAGACATTTGAGTCAATATATCATGATTTAATTGTGAAGATGGTAGGGAGCGGGAGAAGCACATTGCCCCCCTTTCTTGGCAGACATCATTTGTTCCAACTTTTTTTTTTTTAAAGCATATAAAAATCCAGATTTTACATTTAATCTCCTCATCTCTGCTCCAACACCTTTGCTGTAATGCCAGCATCTTGACAATGTGTTTCTGGTATTTTCACGGCAGGCTAAATATACATGCAGATGTTGTTGTGATGGTGCGGATGGATACGTGAGTTAATGGGCTTCTCACGCCTTGGGCCGGCAGGCTAAGGAAAAGCCTGCAGAGGGGGCTGCAAGGGGGTAAAAGTTTCGCGAGTGTTTCCCTAGCACCTGCGTATGGGGGGGGGGGGATCAGAGGGAAGCGACACATGCGGCCTTGAAAGGTTTTTTACGGCCGGGGGACGGAGCCTGGAGGACTTCAGCCTGTGCGAATCTGCCTCTGCCTCATCAAAGGCAGTCATTTCCTGTTCATTTCAGGCGCCCATCCCCCCAACCAGCTCTAGTCTGCTAATCCCACCCCTGCAAACTGCCACTACTCCCCCAACCCCCAGCCTGGGCCCTCCCCCCCCCCCGCTGGGGTCTTGCCCGCCTGTGCTTCGGCGTGCTTCCCTCCAGGGCCGGGGAGGCTGTGCGCTTTGTGTCAGAGCACTAACAAATCCTCATTGTCCCGGGCGGGAGTGGTGACAGAAGAGGAGGAGGAGAAGGGGGGGTGGGGGGGAGCGGCATCGCTGTCTGGTTTCTATTCAAATCCAGGTACACACACAGGCCCGGGAGGGAGCGAGGGGCTTACAGAGCGCCAAGCTCGGGGATCGAAGTCCGCGCAGGCCGACTTAACTGCAACGTTACTGGCCGATCAACAAGTGAGACTAGACGGCCCGACCTGCTGCTTGACCTGACGGGACCCCAAACAATCGATGCCCCCAAGTTAAGACCGGCGTGTTGTTAATAACCGGCTGTTGGTGTCTCAGCGTATCCGAGGCTGCGTTGCTGGTTGGTGTGGCCGATCGCTCGGCGCAGAGACTTTAGCCGCTGCAGGTGATGAGGGCTGAGATGCGTATCAGGGTAACAAGATTCGACATGTGAAGGCATCTCAGAGAACAAGTCGGAGAGACTCCGAGGGTTTTTAAATATATGTTTCCCAGTCTGGGTTTAGTCTGAATTCGTTACGTCCAATGATGCCACTTGTTTTGGAGTTGCTCTAGCAGCTGCGTGTCTTAGTCATCACTCCAATAGCGATGCAGACTTATTTGTGTGTGTGTGTTTGTATGTGAAGCCTTTGTGTTTTCCTGACTCCAGCTGTAAATCTGATGTTTTTCTCCTTCACTCACTCAGTTTTTGCGCTGGATTAAGAGCTTTATACAAAAGCAGCCTGGGACAAAAAGAAATATAGGGGCGGTGAGCATTTCCTGTCACTAAATGCATTCCAAACCCGGCGACCCCCACCCGCCTCCCCACACTCACAAGCCGGCGGGCAAAACCAACGAAAAAGGGAACAGAAAGAAAACAAGCTCTGTGAAAATGTCTCTCCTGTTCTTCCTCTCAGTCTATATTTACCCTCCTCCTGCAGGACACGTTTATCTTGGTATAGATTAACTCCACCGAGTCATCGACGGCAGTATTTAGAATGTTTTTATTCTTTAACACGAGGCGCTGGCCAAATACTGACACGAAGCAGTGCTCAAAGCCTTCCTGCTGCCGCCGGGAGAACAAGCGTTGGTGTTTAGTGGGGCAAAGTACGGCGTTCTCAGTGGGAACGGGCGAGCTGCAAGGTGAGCACTTTGAGAGGCACTGGAGCACGGCCACCCCTCACCCCAGCGCCCAGGGCGGGGTGTCCCTCCCCTCCTGGAGCGGAGCAGCAGCTGGCTGACCCGGGCCGCCGCTGCGGCCCCTAATGGCTGACCTGCCCTGTCTGGACGGCCCTACTTGCTTTTGTCTGCTGTCTGGCTCAGTTCCTCCCAGTCAAACATCGCCGCTGGCTACCGCAGTCCTCATTCCGCATTCCCACAGAGCGGCACGCACACACACACACGCACACACACACACACGCACACACACACGCACACACACACACACACTTTTCACTCTTGGCACAATTTGTCCGGCGCATACAATCTCTCAGTCTTACGTTCACACATACATCCTTTTCAAAAGTCTCCCACACGCGGAGACCGTGTCTGATTCAACACACACACACACACACACACACACACACACACATCGAGAACAAATGCAAATGTCTGTTCCTTTTTGAAACTTTGTACATTAGCTTTGTATGAATAGAGCAGTATCTTCAATTAAATAGTTGAATGCAGTTGAAGTCATGAATTAATATGAAACAAAATCAAACAAAACCAGTTTTTAATCAGAGGCTGGAAATAAAGAGGCTCAGGGAAGAAGTTTAAATACTCACAAGTTTGGGAGCTTGAGTCTGCGGTGAGTGGATGGTAGAAATGAAAAAGAAATGCTACACGCGAGCAGAACGCCTCCATGTGTGGGGAGCAGGCTGTGGAGTGGCAGCAGGAAGCGCTCCTCGATCGCCCCGCTGCCGCCGCGTCGGAGCTGCCGGCCTCTAGTGGGAACTCAGCCAGGAGTATGCAAGTGCCTTACAAATCTTTCTCTCTCCCCCTCTCCCTCCCTCCCTCCCATCCTTCCGTGCTTCTAAAAAGGTAAACAAGCGCACACATTGCCACATGCATGCAACCCCCCCTCACACACACACGCGCTCTCACTCCCACCCTCTCTCTCTCACTCACTCACACACACACACACGGCCGCTGCAAGTTATTGAACTGCTCCACATTTCCATGCATGCACTTTATATGAGGCAGTTGATGCACGGCAGCGCGCAGTCATGTGTGCAGGGGGCCTGCTGTGATTGGCTGGAGGCCTGGGAGCCGAGGGGGGGGCCAGGGACCTGTGATTGGTGCGCGCTCAGACCATTGAAACTGGAAGGCCTCTCGATTGACTGGCTGCCGTTCTGGGTGGAGTTTGGGTGACACTGCTGAGAAGAAAAAAAAATCCTCACCCTGAGAGTTTTGCGCCTTTATTGTGTTTGAGCGGCTGTGGTTGGACAGTATGGAGACACACACGTTTAATATGCTGAAACCAGGGAAATTGTGCCTTCTAATGTATGATGGATACATTTCAGTGATAGTATGAGGATTTTATATGAAAAATGATTTGGATATTCATGATTTATCAATGACAATTTATATATTCATAATCCACGTCTTGGTTTATGGTTTGGTTTAGTCTGTTTTTGTTGTTTTTCCATAGAAGGTGAGAGAAAACTTGCCCATGTGGGGCAGTGAGAACCAAACCATGGCATCGCTTTAGTAATCAAAGATGCTAATGACTTTACCCTCTTTTTAAAATACTTTTAGTTTTTGCCAAGTTGAGGGTGTGCATGTTGCACCTTAGCTTGATATAGTAGCTTGAGCTTATCTTAGTTTGATATGCAAGAATCCGAATTCAGGTTTGACCTGGAATGTGACGCTGTCCTCGGTAGAGAGACGTGTGGGGGTGGGACAATGATGGAGACCCACGTTGGATAAAGTCCATTGTGATCTGTCCCCATGCTGTGCATCCCTCCATTGGGATCTGAACTCCATGTGAGCCGTTGGTTCTGGTAGATCGCATCCCAATGAGAGCAGCGTGACGGGACGACCGGAGTCGCTTTGAAAAGACACGTGGAACCATAGACGTTGTGTTGGAAGGAGATCTCGTAAGGCTCAGTCAAAAGCATAGTTCAGAGTTGTGGAATTGTTTTTTTTGCAGACCAGTGTGCATCAGTGTTTTCCTCCCTCCTGAGTGGTGACGGCACAGCGCGGCCTGCAGCGCTGCCAAGTGCTTTTATTCACACCCGATTAGATGGCTCTGACCTGGATAACATGCAGCGCTGCACGCTGCAACCTAAGCCCTTTGTTTGAGGCGAGCCGCCTCCGTCGTGGTCCCCTGCACCACGCCACCACCACATAGCGAGCCAGGACTTCTTTCTGGACACGTCAAGAGGAGTGGACGCAGTGCAGCGTTTGGAAACTGTGGCGGCAACGTGCTGAATTGTTGAGGTCCGACTCGACTTGTATAGGATTTATAGATATTCACTAAAAATACAACATTCGCTTTCAACAACTCTAACAAATTGATTTTGCTAGCAAGCTAATTTTCCGTTCCTGCTTTAGCCATTCGGGTTCCTTGGGGTAAAAGAAGCATAGCGTTACGGTATATTATAATATTATAACGGTATGTTTTTATAATCCATAACGTTTAACAAGTTTTGGTGATGTTGTTCATGAAGTAAAATTAAATGGTAGTAAAGTTTGTTGCTCTCAGTAGCCTTGCAGCTGTAGGAACTTGTATGTGTTTTTTGTACTAAGCTCGTTCACGCTGTGCTGAACAATTAGCAGATATTAAGGGTTCCTTAAATGTAGGACTTCTCCTTTAAGGAATAAAAGTTTTAAAGCTATGAGTTAGTTGAAGAAAGCCACAATTTCACAGATTTATTTATTTTTGTGTATGGCCATGGCTCAAATTGCATCTCCTCCCTTAAATGAGCTTGTTATTGTGTATCGAACATGGCATCTTGGGGAGGGATCCGCTAATTCTCCCGGCGGGCCTCCAGCTGAAACACCTCTTTGTTGTGCTAATGCGTTCTCTGTGATAGCATCTCCATCCATAACCTCCTCCATGTGTACGATAACCTGCAGAGGCTGTAGCGCTGTATGTAGGGCGCTGGGGGTTGGGGGGGGGGGGGTTGTTGCAGCATGTCCTGCAGCTGTGCCTGTGATGACAAGCCTGTCCTCAACCTGCCCCCCCGCCAGACTAAACACAACACGGCTTCACCTGCAGCGTTTCCCGTTGCACTTCCACTTGTCTGGTGACTTTGCCAGGGAAGCAGAGCGGTCTTGGGATTCCGGTCTGCGCATTGCGAGCCGTAAACGGGCAGCGCGGTTGGCTCGTTAGCCGCTCGCCGACGTGCGCGGCCTTAACTGAATGCAGTGAACCCGGCTTTTGGGCCCGGAGCCGTTCCGAGGGAGTCATGTTTGTGGGCCAAATGGAAACTAGGTCACTGTGCTGTCAGTTGTGTGTCTCCTTGGGAATGTGCGAGTTCAGAATAAAAGTGTAAAATAGGGCCTGTACCTAAAAAGGATGGCACGGGCCCAGAGATATGCAGCACACACTCTCATAGAGAGAAAATTCTCATCCTTGGTTCAGATCCCTAAGAACGCTTGGGATGGCAGGATCTTATTATCACAGCAAATGTGCAATGTGCAGAGTGGAGGAGATTAGATGCGTCTTGCCTTTGAAGTGTATTTTCCGACCATTGTGTGATGGCAAATTCCATCAAGTGTTGGAGCGAAGCGTGATAAGAAGCCCGGGTTATGAATGCCACGGCATTAAAAGCCATCACTTGGGCAATAAGATGAAACACTCATAAACTCGTGCTAAATGAAAAATATTCCCCCTCATTTCAGCACCGTCATTCACGCTCTGTTGGGCAAAGGCACCAAATCCGAAAATAACAAGGTGCATTGGTTGGCTTTAATAAATATCCACAATATGGATTATACTTGATGAATGATTGGGTGTTGATTACAGGATTCGCAGCCATTTTAACTCTTCCAATAAACATCATTTAATTCACCCTCTGGAATGAGACCGTCCTCTTCCCCAGAATCCCGTCCTAGAAACAAGTAACAACCTTGGAAGACGGGATTTCTTTTTGGAGATAATTCAAAGTCCTCCTCGGCTCTTTGACCTTCACTACGAGTGCTGGGGCTCCTGGGGTCGGGCGTTTTGCGAGGTGGAGTATGGACGTCACTGAAGTGACCCCGCTCCTCGCGGGGCTCCTCGCGGGCTGGAGATGGGCAGCGTGGGAGGACCTCCCGAGGGAGCCGGCTGAGGGGTGACGTCCTGGGCATGGGCCTCCGACCCTTCAGTGCAGTGCCGCTGGAGGTGTCCCAACACGCCGGGACGCATGCTGCTTCTGCAGTTGGTCCGCTTGTCTTATTCTTCTTTGACATTGATGGCAATAGGCTGCACAACTCTTTTATCCTGTCGGTAGGTTTGCAGCACATGTAGTAATGCAGGAAAAAAGCTACACACATATATTTACAAACGCTTATATTCTTTTTGCAGTAAATTCATTAATTTAATATTGTGGCATCAACTGTAGCATATTCTCTACTAACGGGGCCTGGTGTAAGTAAGAGCTGGACAATGATTTCACTTGGCGGCGTAACGATGGTGGAACTTGGGCTGAGCGGTACGGCGAAAAGCGATCAAGCTCACGGTATTTTATCAAAACCAAATAACCTCAACAGACGCCGCTCCTCTCACAAGCGGTGTTGCTCTCTTGTGGGTTCTCCTGCATCGCTGCTTTTCCCGTGTTGTCATGTAGTGATGGAGTTTCGTCTTGTGACAGCGGGCGTGTTGTACCCAGCATGCAGTTCGGCGGCATTGTTTTATAAATGGACAATATTTAAACCGTTTGTGTCACGAGCTGTCATGTGGTGGAGTTTTACCTTGTTACAGAGCGCTAGTTGTGGGTTAATAATTGGCTACAGTAGGGGGGTACAAATAGGCAGTGAAGTTATCTTTGAGTGGCATTTAGCTGTGGCCTTCAACATGAGGAGGCTGTAAGTGACCGCTACTCCGGCCGTGCTGCCGGCACCAATAGCCAGTGTGTTTTTGGGGGATCCTTTGCGCGGAGCTCGGTTGGGGTATTTTTAGACCGCAGTCTCAAAGGGAAGGTCTGAGAAACCGGTTTCTACTGCTGGTCCCTCGGCTTCAAGGGCGGCTGAACGTTATCTCGCACGATGAATTTAAGAACGGCGTTTTGTCTTTCCTCAGCCATGCGGCCTAAATGCAATGTCTGCGTGATTAAAGGCTTCATGCTGACTGCTCACTGACTCCTCCGAGGTGTGCGTCTGCGTCTGGGCGTTCATAGGTGTGCACGTGGAAGCATTGCTCCCTCCGTCTGCGTGCATTCGCCTAGAATAATTCATTTGATGTTTAGCAAGCATAATGGCTGGAGTAAGGACTAATTCATTTGCCCCAGATCTCTGTCGAGTCTGTGGCTTTCACAAAGTGTCCCACTACCTCCTGCAACACCCCCCCCCGCTTTCAAGTCTCTCCTCTAGTTGAAGAGGGCCCATTTATTATTTAAATCCTTCCATAATTCATCCATTCCCCACCAATACACCCTCTATTGCTCATTCCTCGTCTAGTACAAATTAGCATGAGCTCCGTCTGCATGTCTAAAAACGGAAGACAGAAATGAAGCAAGCAGAAAGGGAAAGCAGCAGCAGCGCAGTCCGATGGACACTGCAGCGCTCCATGTGATGGGATTCCTTGTGACTTATTGAGTCCAATTTGTAGCCTAAAGAACTAAACAGCTGTGGCCTATTTTGTTTGGATGATGTCACCGTTTGTGCCTCGTAAGGCTGCCTCGCTCTCGGCACTCGGTGTGAGGATGTCAGGAGCACTTTGCTGATGAGGGCAGGAGGTTGTGTAGCCTTTGGAAGCTTCAGATAAGTCGACCGAGGCGGTTATGTGTTAGTACACATCCATTAACCAGTGTGAAATATTCACACATGTCCCTGTTGTTATATTTGACATGACTTCTTCTTACATAATGAATAATGTTCTAACTGGCATTGTGTGAGGGT